AGAAAACAATGTGTCTTTCTCTCAAAATATCATGGTAAATTATGTGACATGTTGCAAAATAGTAAGTTATCATGAATTTTAAACTTTTATAGCACATGTAGTTTAAAAATATTAGATTTCTGCAGTTCTACATATAAACATTAAGTATGCGTATGCCAGAAGTGTCACCACCCCTATTTATCCCGTGGGTTTCGTAAGAGCCGACTAAGGGAGTAAACTACGCAGGACAACAGCACTGCAAAGAGAAAGAAAACTTGACACAAACCCTATATCAACCCGTCTGGTCAGCGTGGTGTAGTAGGCCAAAAACTCCTTTCTAAGGAGAGGCCTATGTCCAGCAGTGGCCTATTACAGGCTGTTGGTGTGCTGGTGGTGGATGCCGAATATGTCATCTTTCCGTGCTCCATATTATGTTTAAAAAGGGGTACAAAGTATTTTTTTTATATATTAATAACGATGTACAATATTATAAATAATAGAGGGATAAATATAGGATAGACAAGCCCATCACCATATGGACATAATATTCTTAGAATCTCAATACAGTTATATTACACAAGAACATTGATATAATACTTACATAGATGAGTAATTACCGCCTAAAATCGTTACTACTGCACATATGTCCACAGGCATATGCGTAGCAAACGTCAATTCATTATTCAATGTGGCGTCAACCGAGTTGAACATAGCGACACATGACAGTAACAATCGCCAAAATGGCTAAATGCGTAGTGAAAGAATGCGATTCAAGGTCACAAAACATTAATAAATCATGCGGAATTACTTTTCACGTGTAAGTTTATGGTTTTTGTATTGATAATATCGTAAATAAGGCTATAATTGAAATAAAACACTGATAATTGTAATTTAGAATCAGTGTTACCATTAAAAAATCATTTTGGTTTTCCCACATTAGTGGGAGAATTTATAATTTATGAAATAATAAAATATAGGAAGAACGGTAGTTGTTAGGACTGGACCGATCCCTTTTTTTAGGGACCCGTTGAACGTTCACTGCGAGCTTGGCAGAAGTGCCAAGCTCGCAGTGCTGGAGACTTTTGTACAAAAAAATTAATTCATTGTTTTTCTTAATTTATTATCAATTTTAAATAATAATTGTACAAAATAATAATAATAATAATAAATGTTTATCATAAAAATAAAAATATAAAATAAAAAAGTAAATAAACATAAATAATTTTTTTTATAAAATAAAAATAATTTTTTTTTTTTTTTTATTTGTTTTTTAAATTATAATAGAATTTGCAATACACCCTGGGGATTATTTATTATCAGTACAAGTTGATCATTCACTTTTATTATTAAATGCTATTATTTTTACATATGGGAAGGTGTTATACCTGTGGACATTTGCCGGATTTTGAATGAAAATATGGTTTAATAATTTAATTTTTATTTATTAGCCGTAAAGTATTACAAATGTTGTTCCAGGATTAGTTAACACTTAAAAATTAGCTGTCTTTAGTTTTGTACGAATTATGTTGATTAAAATAAACCAGTTTTTTTAAATCACTAAATTTGTCCACAGGTACATCTTATGATTGTACCTCTGGACAGAAATACTTGTACCTATGGACGGCAATGTACCTATGGACAGATCACTTATCCTTACATAATAATCCTATAAAAATCAGCAAAAATAAATAGAATATCTTTATAAATCAACTTTAACATTAAAGAATCAATTATTCTTTTTGGTTTTGGCATCTAAATAATTTTGATATAGTTCTAAGGCAGAATCATCAGAGGCATCTGAATCACCATCATCTAAAATATAACACTTTTGATATAAGAAGTCTGACTCATCATCTGATTCAAAATTATCTAAATGTGATCTTGATACACATTTCTGGTGATATTTGAAATCGCATTGAGAGCAATTGAGCAGTTTGTAAACATTTTCATGTCTTTTACATCCCATACACATGGCTTAGGGTAACTGGTCATCTTGAAGAATTGTGACCCTTTTTTCTGCAGATTGAATTTTTATTTTTATCTAAATATTCTGCAAGCTGTTTTTCTTCTTCCTCATCAAATACTTTCTTCACGTCATTTCTCAAAATAACTACCCTGTTCTCGCTCAGATCATTCTCCTTATTCATGTGAAGGTATTTAAATATCGTAGATTTTGGTATTTTATATTTTTCTGCAACTTTTCGCAATGAACATCCACTAATTGCCTCTTTAATTGCCTCAGATAACGTCTCTGAACACAACCTACGGCGCGTTTTTCCGTCGAGACACTGAAAAATGAAAAAAAAATTGTACCTGTGGACAGTCCATAGGTACATACACTTCGATGTCCACAGGTACAAATCAGACAATACAACCTAAAAATCTATTACCGGCATGATAGGTACTAGTTTACACCGTTATACCGATGTAAATGGATTGTTAACTACATGTACTACAGTATGACTAAAAATAATCATCTATATTCTGCATACGTTCACAAAAAAATAAGACGAAAAAGAGACAAATACTTACTTTTTTGAGCGAAAACCCTTAACGGTCTGTCACCGGTCACACAACAAAAGATACAAAATGGCAGCAAGTCAACGTTGCCACACATCAAAAATACTTTACGGATGCGTTCAATTCGTTAAATTTCTGTGTTTATTTTTTGAAATATCAATGATGTCCACAGGTAAAACCGTTCATAGGTACAACACCTTCCCCTACTTAAAAATAAGATTGTATCATGAAAGTAAAATATCCACACAAACTTATAAAAAAGAGTCTAAAGGACAATTGTATACAAAACTGATGCTTCACAGCGCAGTTTGATTTTACACTGAATATAAACCCTTTTAACCAAATATTTCCAGTTATTTTATTATTTATACCTATTCTATTCAATTCGAAATATATTATTTAGAATATTTAAATTAATTTATTTTATTACAAAATTGTTTAAAAAAAAAATTGTTTCTTAGTTGTTATGGGTAAAATTTCATACGGTAGTCAACACTGGCCCACCATCGTAAAGTTATATCTTTGTCTTTGTCTAATCCGAGCGATGGTATTGTTCTTGTCTCGCGTGTAAATGAGACATAAATATGTTTACTTTCAAATGTTTAGTGGTATCAAAGCTACGTCGTCAAAGTTCAAAAGTGGTTACACTTTTTTCGACGTGTGATAATGAGGTTTGCTTCTCTAGTGTTGTTTTAACTCAATGCACAAGAATAAAATTTATATCATAAAAAAAGGCGTGAGGGGTCTATGGACCCCGGTCGGAACGAAGGTCCTTTCGCTTTTTGGTAGACGTTTGCTATACAGTCTGCTTTAAACTTATAGTGTCGGTAAATGTCTTGTGACATATTTTTCGCTCTAGCTCCCAGCCGCTCGATAAGTAACGTGCGATAAGGAACTTCGTTCCAAAAAACTCTCCTTCTCAATTTAAATGCCAAGTCCTTGTCAGTGAAACAATCGCCACTGTCTATTTTCTGCGAAATGTTTGACCTCTTGATAGGCAACGACTCCCATGTTCTCCTTTACTTACTGTTTGTATGACCTAGGCCTTCCACTTTTCCTTTTGCTTACATTTTTTCTTCCATTTATTATTCTGAAGAAGTTGTTGAGTCTTATTAAGTGGTCCAATCATTAGATAACATAAAAGAAGTTAAAAAATAGTCATAAAAATAGACCTTTGTTATTTATCTGTGCAATATTTGTATTGATCTAAATATGTACTTATAAAGTAGATATTATTACAGTATGTGATATAACAAATAAAAATATTGAAATCTTTCATTTTTTTTTATTAATATGACCCCTAATCATTCCGTGGGTGTCGGAAGAGCCGACTAAACAAACTTCGCAAGACAATAGCACTGCAAAGAGAAGGAAAACTTGACACAAACTCTGTACCAATCCGCAGGGGTGGCCTTTGGGAGCAGCGCAATCGCCCGGGGCCTCGCTACCCTCAAAGGCCACCCCTATGATATTGGCACCCCATGAAAAATGCCGCCCAGGGCAGGTGCCCCGGTTTGTCCCTCCTAGATCCGGAGCTGACAGGAAGTATTTGGAATAATAAGCATGCGCTGGGATGCTATAAAATACGTAACCCTAAAAAATAGCTTAAAGAAGCCTGGGTCGCGTACCGGTATGCCCGTCCTGTAATTGGTAAGATCACTGTGAGTATATATTTAAAAAATAATTATTATATTATAAAGTAAATTGTTCGAAAGTCAATGGATAAATAGTAAATCACGTAATTTGTTTTAAAAGGTTTACCGTAAAAATAAGTGCAATGTATTGCACATGACAGTGTGAACGGAACGTAAACGTCACCCATATTGTCAAACGTACTGACGTCTAGAGTTGCAAGACTCAAAGATTTCCTTGAAATGTTGGTTAATAGGCGTTGGATGTTTTATTGACATGTGCAAGGAATTGAAATCTATTAATTCATGTTTGGTCATATAATAATAACTAAGCAACTTTTATTCCATTTTACTTGAGGCATACCAAAATAGTAAAACTATTGCACACTAATAAAAGTTTATTTCTTATAAGCTTGTTTGGTAGTCTTACTAACAAACAAGCTGAATAAGGTAAACTAACTTAAGAAATTAATTACTTAACTAAATCAGGGTTCCAGTTCACGGTAATACCTATTGTTAATAAAACTTTATAAAATTGTATTCATATTTAATAAATATAAATGGTTCTACTCACTTTTGTACTAAGGGAGACCCTTTTAAGTGTGACACCTGAAAAGGTCAGGTCTAAAACAGTTATCTCTCTGTTAAATCAGAGATCAGTAAAGTTTATCTTCAGTAAAATGTTTGTTTTTGTGAAGAAAATAGGCGACGGCCACTTTTAGAGTTGACAACATCACAAACGTCGTGCGTATATAGCGTCTTGTGTATTGTTTTATGTTCCTTTTAAATAATCTCAAATATATTTTAAATAAACATGAATAATTAATTAAATAAATCATAGAGATATTTTTATACTACATATTTATAGAAATGAGTACCTGGAACTGCTGTAGAACTTGTTTAGACGTGCAATCTCTGAATCCCATATTTTCAGCGCCCGAATATAGTGAAAAATACAGTGAAGTCATATTAAATGCCACAGGAATCAAGGTATGAGCCTTTTATAACGTAATAATGATAATAAAACTCTTTTACGGTTTAACTTCACCATAGAGAATTTCTCTTTTGATTTATACTTTTAAATTGAATGAATTTTAAAACAGTTCGAAACTACTATTTATTAAAATATAAGTTTTTTATGCTTTATGTAAATAGATAAATAAAAGTCTTTATTTACTTTAACAATATTCTTAACATTTACCACAAAATTCTTCTTACTAATAATTTAAATGCTCAGATTGTCTTCTGACATAGGCCTCTTCTAGCTTTTTTTTTATGGTATAAGGGGGCACACGAGCCAACGGGTCACCTGATGGTAAGCAACTACCGCGCAACCATGGACACCTGCAACTCAGAAGTCACAATGCACTGCTGCCCTTAGAGTTCCAATTTTCTTCTGATTAATTTCGTTGCGGGTTCCAAGACAGTTTAATTTCTTCCTGGGACTTCCCGAGTGTCATAACTCGGTGTGTTCGTGGGTCACTGCTGTGGATCCTGGTGTACAGGAGTTACAGTGGTGGGCGTGTGGGTGGGATTAGTCCCAACTGCCTTAGAGTCCCTCCCCCTCGAGTCAACGGGAGGAGGGATATGGGCTCCGGTGACCTCACTCACTCAGTGAAAAGCAACGAAAGAATTGCTTAACACCGGTTGTTTGTGAGGCAGTGGTATCACTTGTGGTCTTCATTTGTTTCTAATATGAATGAGCAAAGCTTCTCCATCCTTTATACAGATTATCCTCTTATCTTTTGCTGATCTTCCTCTTAGTTTTGTTATTCCTTGGGTACCACTCAGTGCCAGTTTGGACCAAAACTGGCACATAATTAGATATCAATCTAATCATGTGAAGTCCTCTTCGTCCATATTTGTAACTGAAATTACTTAACAAGCATAGAATTTTTTTCTTTGTGAATAGTAGAGGGAGAAGAATTTTTATTCCACTTTGGTAACTTAATTGACTTACTGACTGACTGCATGGATTGCGTAGTGGTTTAAGCGGTTGCCACGCTGCTTACGCTAAGAGCTGTGGGTCCGACTCCCACATGGGATTACACTTTGTGTGATCCACAAATTGTCTGAGTCTGGATGTTCTTTGTCTCCGTTTCATGTATGTTTGTAAAGTGCCCCGCTACACAGGATATCCTTGCTACTAATGCGGCAGTTGTTTTTAAAAAAAAAACGGTCAAGTACGAGTCGAACTTGTGCACCGAGGGTACCGGACCTACCCAGATTTTCGCGAAAATTTGTAAGTATCTTAATTTTCAAGAAAACAAGTAAAGAGAAAATTCTGAAAAATAAAAAAGTTGAAAATTAAGGTAAATTTTGGTACTTACAAGTTTTCGCGAAAATCGAAATTTGCTCATATCTTTTTATCGTGTTGACACGGGACCTTGATTTTTATACACTCAGTATCTGGTATAAATTTCAACTTGGTAGGTCTACCCCTTCCTGAGAAAATCGGTGGTGACACACGGACAGACAGACAAGAAAGTGATCTTATAAGGGTTCCTTTTATACCTTTTGAGGTACGGAACCCAAAAAAATTACTTAACCAGTCACAAAAGGAGATGTTACTTTCCCTGTTTGATAATTAGTTGTAACAGAAGAATTATTATTCCGCTTTTGTAGATATTTAACGTAGGGGGTTATGTTAAACAATTCCTATTTTGCGTCACCAAGGTTTAGTGCGGTCACTCTGTCAGTAGAGGCCTAAACCAAAATATTCAGTGTACCATTCCTTTAACCTTCTGTATAACATCATCTACTATTCAAATTTTTCTTATTTTAGCAGTCGTAAGTTTCGTATCTCATCATCATCATCAACAGCCTTTAATAGTCCACTGCTGGACATAAGCCTCTCCTTAGAAAGGAGGTTTTGGCCTACTATACCACGCTGGCCAGACGGGTTGGTATAGGGTTTGTGTCCTTCTGTTTGTTTCCTTCTCTCTGCAGTGTTGTTGTTCTGCGTAGTTTTTTCCCTTAGTTGACTCTTGCAACACCTACGGGATGAATAGGGGTGGTGACAATCTGTATTCTTAATCCGTCACCACACGGACCATTCGTATCTCATTCGTATATCATTATGTTCATATTTTGCAGGTGGAACTAGACGATCGATTACCACAACAAATATGTTCAAACTGTATAAACTTTATAAATAATTCTTACAAATTTCGTAAAAAATGTGAAGAAAATCAGAAGATATTAATCAGTCGCATCAATGATAAACAAATATATGAAATTAAAGTAGAATCAAATATATTTAAAGCAGAAAATAGCCATACAATAGACATATCAGATTTAGTTAATGATTTCAAGTCATTTAATGATAATGAAAACAGTATTAATGATTTCATTGACTCTGTTGAAAATAATGATAATCAGAATGTAGAATTTGAAAATACGGTTGAAGAAATAGGTGAAAAGCCAGTAGAAACTGTATTCAAAGAGAAACAGAGTAAAAGAAATGTTGATAAAGTACCCAGAAGGAGTTTGAGAAGTAAAAAAGAGAGTGAAGAGAAGAAAGCAAGAGTCAAAGAGGAGATAGAGTGTGAATATTGCCATAAAATATTAACATCTAAGTTATCTTTGAGGAATCATTATAAAATTCATACGGGATTTGATGTTGTTTGCGAGGTTTGTATATAAATGTAATTTGTTTTTTAATTTAATCTTTATAGGTACTTTTTTTTAAGGTTTACCAGCAACCGAAATTCCCGAAATTGGTATTCCCGTTAACCCCTCTCATCTAAGCTAAATTGCTTGTGGTAGGAGTGGGTTCGAACCCACGACCTCTTCAACGCAAGTCCAATGCCTTAACCACTGGCCTACCGCTGCTTCTGGCAGACGGGTCACCTGATGGAAAGTGACCCATAAACGCCTGCAACTCAGGAGTCACAAACGCGGTTCTGGTCTTTTAGGAAGGAGTACGCTAGCTATTATAGTGAACACACTAGGCAGGAATCAAATGCACTGCCTCATATTTTTTATAAATGCAACTTCCGCACTAGGAATACATCCTTCGGGCACGCCGTCATCGCGGCGGTAAGACCCGTTATGGAGGATTGGCTCGAGAGGCGTCACGGGACCCTCTCATACCGATTGACGCAGGTGATCACTGGGAAGGGATGTTTCGGGGATCACCTGTGTCTGATCCGCAAGGAGCCAACGCCTGAGTGCCACCACTGCTATGGCCAGACCGTGGACACGGCTCTCCACACGCTGGCAGAGTGCCCGGCGTGGGTTGAGCAGAGGCGAGACCTCGTGGCGGCCATCGGAGTGGGAGTTCTCTCGCTCGATAGCCTGATTGCGGCTATCGTGCGGAGCGAGAGTACGTGGAACTGGAGAGGTTTAGGACTCTCCCGGCCCGCCAGGCCCGGGAACGGGCCAAGTACCGCAGGCGACTCAGGCGCCGGAGGTCGCAGAACGACCTCCGTCCTCCATAAGCGCAGGCCTGGGGGTGACAGGTGAGGCCATCTGTCACCCTAGCAGAAGCAGGCCGGGGTGGCGGCGAGCGCGTTGCGAAGCGCGCTCGCCTCTAGGGAGCACAGGGAACATGGGGTTCCCACACGGGGGGGTCGTCTACTCGTCTGTAGATGACCCGAGGTATGTCGGGGCACCAGGGACTTCCTTTCTAGGGTATACCTGGTTCCCCGGCTATTAGTACCCGAGACGGCGTGCGGTTTTAGTCGGTTCGAGGTATCCGAATCGGTGGTATCCGAGGGGACTTCCGCACGAAAAAAAAAAAAAAAAATAGGAATACATCCTTTACAAACATTCATGAAATGGACACAGAACACCCAGACTCAGGACAACAATTGGTGGATCACACGGGTGTTGTCCCATATGGAGACCGAATCTGTAACACTCATCGCTGTACGAACCGGTGACCGATTAAACCACCACACCATCTTTGCAGTCATTTGTTGCAGGCAAATACTGCTACAAAGGTTTGATTGTAATTTTTAAAATTTATTTTTCCAGCATTGTGGCAAGAAGTTTATCACCAGAAGACTGTTGCTGATGCACTGCAGAGCCAAGCACGGCTATGAGAAGACTGACAAGTGTTCCTACTGCGACTACCGAGCATCGAATGCTGAACAAGTTAAGGTAAAAGTATTATAATAAAGCCCTTTTCTTCCGAATTCGCTACAGATTTGACAATACATATTTCCGAGTTCTATTTGTTATATTATGTCTCGCAATTCGGTGCGCCTCTTGGCATAGGCCTGCTCCAGCTCTCTCCACTGAGCTCTATCCTCTGCTACTCTAGGCCAGTAAGGTCCCAAGGTTAGGCGGATATCGTCTTTCCATCTAGTTTTCGGACGTTCCTTTCTCCTACAGTCCTCTCTTGGGTACCATAAGGTTACTTGTTTGTTTCATTTATTTATTTTGGAACGTAGCATATGTCCTGTCCATCACCATTTTAAATGATCTATGCGAGTTATTATATCTACAACTTTAGTTTCTCTACTTATTTCAGAATTTCTAATTTTATCACTAAGTCTGAGCCCAATATCAATGACAATTTTTTTTTTTTTAAATAATCACCTCACACATCTCACACACGGCTGTTTGATCCCAAACTAGGCAGAGCCTGTGCTATGGTAACCAGACTGCTGATAAACATACTTATATAGTTTTAAATACATACATATTATAGATAAATTACACCCAGACACAGAACAAATGACCGTGCTCATCACACAATATTTGTCCTGGGTGGGAATCGAACCCACGACCTCCCGGCTTAGCAGTCAGGGCCACTAACCACTAGACCAACAGGCCCGTCGACATTGTGACATTATTTCTAAGATACTACCTGTACCTTGCTACGCTACTCCGTGGTACCTTTTGGTTGCATTAATGAGAAATTAAGAACGAAATTGACGCTAAAAATAAATAAAAATAGTCTTGGAAGCGGTTTATATGTCGTGTCTAAGTTTCAGCTCAATTGGTGCATAACGTTTTGAGTTTTTGAAGCATACACATCATCTACCTTTACTAGTCCACTTCTGGCCTTAGGCCTCTCCTTAGAAAGGAGGTTTTGGCCTACTACACCACGCTGGCCAGACGGGTTGGTATAGGGTTTGTGTCAAGTTTTCCTTCTCTCTGCAGTGCTGTTGTCCTGCGTAGTTTGCACCCTTAGTCGGCTCTTACGACACGCACGGGATGAATAGGGGCAGTGACACTCTGTGTTCTTAATCCGTCACCACACGTCACAAGCATACACAAACCAACTTAACAGTTTTAAATACATAGATGATATAATTATAGTGAAGTCTACTTGTGACTATGATCGGTATAATTCGGTTGAATAATAGCAAAAAATTTTTGGAACCAAGTTCATTATCGCGCGTCACAAGGTCTGAGCGGATGGGAGCGAGACTGAAATATGTGTAACAAGACTTTTTTCCGACACTTCAGTTGGTGCGTCGACGCTTACATCTATTTCATATATATAGCAAAAGTTTACGAAAATCGAAAGGAACATCGTTCCAGAGGTCCATAGAGTCATGCCGTTTTTTTTAATTATATGGGGGCCGAAGAGCCCTCGCCCATAGACACCTGTCATCAGTCACGTTTCTTACCGCCCTTTAAGTCCCCCCACCCTAGAATCGCGGTGGGGGTTTGGGATCTGGTAATATCAGTCACACGTCACGTGGAAAACAACGACAGGATTCGTTCTCTCATATAAAGAATCTTTCATTTAAATATTATCGCTATACCCAAAGGAATTAGAAATGAAACCATATTAAATATATATAAATAGACTAGCTGAGACCCGCGGTGTTACCCGCGTTTGTTGTTATAACCGCGGGCAACGCCGCGGGGCGAAGCTAGTCTAAAAAAACTTGCCTAAGTTACTCCTTATGTCATCTGCTATTTGCCAGTGAAAGTCCCGTTGAAATTGGTCCAGCCGTTCCAGAGATTACCCGGAACAAACAGACAGACAGACAGACAGACAAAAATTGTAAAAAATGTTATTTTGGCATATGTACCGTGTAAACATACATATGCATTTAGTAAAAAGCGGTTATTTTAATATTACAAACAGACACTCCAATTTTATTTATTTGTATAGATTAAAACAATCACTACTACAAAAATGCTATTACAGCATCAATGAATACCTGAGCAATCAATCAATTAAGCATGTACATAAAAAACTGAAGTATAATTATTATAGATAGTTTGTATTATCTCTCCCTCTCCCATCTATTGCTGTGCCCGACAGGGTCCATGATGATCTGATCTTGTATTTAAGTTACCATCTAAGTAAACATTGTAAGTCAGTTTTCCTCTGCCCCGACAGATCCACGAGCGGCTCCACACCGGCGAGAAGCCGTACGTGTGCAACTCCTGCGGCGCCGGCTTCCACCGCAAGAGTAGCTACCTTCAGCACGTGGCTATACACCTTCCAGACAAGACTGTACAGGTGAAACTAGCTATCTTTTTAATGTCTCTGTCTGACACCATAGCTCTTAAGGGATCAGCCATTAACCACGTCATATCTGACACCATAGCTCCTAAGGGATCATCCATTAACCACGTCATATCTGACACCATAGCTCTTAAGGGATCATCCATTAACCACGTCATATCTGACACCATAGCTCCTAAGGGATCATCCATTAACAGCCCTTAACAGTCCACTGCTGGACATAGGCCTCTCCTTAGAAAGGAGGTTTTGGCCTACTATACCACGCTGGCCAGACGGGTTGGTATAGAGTTTGTTTCAAGTTTCCTTCTTTTTGCAGTGCTGTTGTTTTGCACAGACACCCAGGGATGAATAGGGGTGGTGACACTCTGTATTCATGATCCATCACCACACATACACAGTCTGTAATTATTAATATTATTTTTTCAGTGCGACCAATGCCCCGCAAGATTCAAATCAGTAACCTTAATGCGTATCCATAAGAACCGTCACCGAGCCCCTCAGTACTCCTTCAAGTGTCGCGTCTGCGAGAACAACTTCGCCAGACGCCGGAACGTGGCCCGACATCTTCAGAGAATACATGGACTCCAGCCTACCCACGAACATATAGACAGGTTGAAGATAGCCTAGTCATAGTACGTAATTTATTTAATTTACTTGACTTCCTCGGTGCTATAGTGGTAGCGTATGCAACTTCTATGCTGAGGTCTCGAGGTTCGATTCCCGGGTCGGACCAAAATGTTTGTATGATCTAAAAATATTTGTTTAGAAGTTTGGGTGTTTTCTATGTATAATATGTATGTATTTACAAAAACAAGTATATAAGTATTCTATTAGTCAATCTAACTTTCATAGTACAAGCTATGCTTAGTTTGAAACTAGATGGCGTTGTGTGTCAAAAGTCTGAAATATTATTTATTTATTTATACATCTTTATTGTACACCGCCGGGTGGTGTCTTGTCCTTATTTGGCGCTAATCCACTGTGCGCTTTACGAGCACAACCAACCTGTGGAACGGGTTATCGTCTGCGTTATTTCCGGACCGATACGACCTTCAAACCTTGACTGCACGGATGGCGTAGTGGTTTAAGCGGTCGCCACGCCGCTTCCTACTACGCCGAGTGTTGTGGGTTCAAACCCCACATGGGACGACACTTTGTGTGATCCACAAATTGTTGTTCTGAGTCTGGGTGTTCTTTGTGTCCGTTTCATGTATGTTTGTAAAGTCCCCCGCGACACAGGATATATTCCTAATGCGGGAGTTGTCTTTTAAAAAAAAAAAAGAAAATAAAAAAAAAACCTTCAAGAAAAGAGCGTACTCCTTCCTAAAAGGCCGGCAACGCGTTTGTGACTCCTGAGTTGCAGACGTTCATGGGCGGCGATGGTCACTTTCCATCAGGTGACCCGTCTGCTCGTCTGCCCCCTCTGACAAAACAAAAAAAAAATTAACAGTACAGTAAAGTTTTTTTTTAATAATTGAACTGAATGGTAGGTATTTATAATTGACAAAAGGAAACTAGATAATATACTAATATTCTACCACATTCACACAACGCCATCTAGTCCCAAACTAAGCAGAGCTTGTACTATAGGTACTAGACAACTGAAAGGCAGGGAGGACTCCAGAAGCCGCCGATGCGTTCCTGGAGCTCCTCCTGACTGCCGAGGTAAGCCGCCGCGGGGTTTAGTGGGTAAACCGGTTCTCCGGGAGTCCAACACACCCCATGCGTTTCCCCAACGGAGGGTATTTAGCATTCCCCGCGTTAGAAAAAAAAAAGGTACTAGACAACTGATATAAATACATGTATACTAGACTTGCAACGAATAGTATATTCGGCAGTATACCGAATACCGAATATTCGGCGAGGCCCCTGACCGAATAGCAGAATATTAGGCAAAAGTATTCGGCTGGATTTTAGCGCCAAAAACTTGTACAGACGTGAATTAAATTATGTACCTGTTTCATGTACCAATGACTACTTAATAAATGATTATAAAAGAAATGAGAACCTTACTCTTCTAAATTTTGATTACCACAATAATTCAAATACATAGAATCCTCCATTTTTCCAATTCAGAAGATGATTATGTACCTGTGTTATGCACCAATGACTACTTAAATGATTATAACAGAAATGAAAATATGAATATATACGTAATCAATCGATTTTAATTTTTCATTTTACAATTATTTCTCAATGACAAAATATATTATTTAAGTATTCGGTATTCGGCCGAATAATATGTAGATATTCGGTATTCGGCCGAATATAATAAAAGCAGCCGAATAGGCCGAATACCGAATAGTAACCGAATATTCGTTGCAAGTCTAATGTATACTTTTTTTCTGTAAATACATACTTATTATACATAGAAACACCCAGACCAAATCAAACATTAAATGTTCATGCACACAAATGAACACAAATGGGTATATATATATATATATATATATATATATATATATATATATATATATATATATATATATATATATATATATATATATATATATATATATATATATATATTTAATAACCATCACAAAAAATCAAACGATCAGCCCCTTATAGTATAAGATAGGTAATTGTGCATTTAATTGTATTTTTTGAGAGGTTGAAAAGTTTGAAGAAAATCTAATAAATAAAATTGAAGTGTCTGTTTGTAATGTCAAAATAATAGGGTTTTTTCATGTTTACACGGTTATTTGTACGATACCCATCATCATAAACAAAAAATATTTAAACTGGTTTTTAGGCATAGGTATCGACCTATGCCTAAAAACCAGTTTAAATATTTTTTGTTTATTCGAGTAATCTTCAAAACGGCTGGACTGATTTTGATAACATTTTACTACCAGGTAGCTGTCTATATAAGGAGTAACTTAGGCTATTTTTCCTATCCGAAAAACCCTATGAAAAAATTTGCCTAGTCCGGGAATCGAACCCGAGGCCTCATGGACTGCAGTCGCATACAGTACTACACCACTAAGGCACCAGCTAGTATTGCATAAAAGAATGAAATCGTCAGAAAGAGAGTGACAAAGATGATTCTGTAAGGTAATCTTGTTATACCATAATTATTTAGGACAAGGTAAGCAAATTGACTGGTCTTGTTTTGCCACAGTAGTATTATAAAAACTATAAAAGAAATCTTAATCAAATTAATTTTAGTATCATATTGGTTATAATTATTTATAAATTGTAATTTAAATTATTATTATTATTATTTGGATATTAATATTTTGATATTGAGATTCAAATATCACGCGTTTTTTAATTTAGCTCGTAAGTGATATCAAATCAATAGCCTTTACTAGTCCACTGCTGGACATAGGCCTCTCTTTAGAAAAGAGGTTTTGGCCTTTTGGTCTTCCATGAAAAAAAGCAAGGGAATATGCACCGAACCATTCCAACCATTTATTTCATGAAACACAGCACACAAAAATAAAAGTTAAATAAAAACATAGACAAAGACAATAAAAACCTGTTAAGGTTTGATTAACACATTAATAGTGCAACATTTTTCAATGTGTCATTCTTTCATACCACTGACGACCGAATGGCGTAGTGGTTTGTGTAACGGACTGCTATTCCAAAGGTCGCGGGATCGATTCTCGCTCAAGTCAAGCATTTGTGTGCATGAACATTTAATGTTTGATTTGGTCTGGGTGTTTCTATGTATAATATGTATGTATTTACAAAAAAAAAAGTATATATGTATTTATATCAGTTGTCTAGTACCCATAGTACAAGCTCTGCTTAGTTTGGGACTAGATGGCGTTGTGTGAATGTGGTAGAATATTTTTTTTTTTTTTTTTTTATTACTGATAGAATTGACATAAAACGTCAAAGTGTGACGTATCCAACCAAGTGTCTGTATAATATTATCAACGTATGAACAACAAAAAACTGTATACTGTATATATTTTCTTATCACAGAAAAACTCTATAAAATTTGCCATGCCCGGGAATCGAACATACTAAGGCAGCGTTTTTCAAATACCACGCGGACGAAGATATATTTGTTGCTTTATCGTGACGCATTTTCGTTTCATCGAGTTTCAAATCACATAAATATAATCCCTAGTATTCGATAGTCCGTTCTAGACAAACAAGAATATTCCAGAATCAGTCATGCGTTACTTGCAGCGCCATCTAGCGCTGTAACGATCAGAACTATTAACCACAATCTTAATAGATGTACTTTACTTGATACTAGATGGCGTTGTCCTCAATAATCCATACAATCCTGGAACAATCGAACCATTTAATCCTATGGCGCTATAATTCTTATCTAATCTTTAATGTTGCTAAGGGTAGTACGCCGTGTTTCAGAAAATATTCTTAGTATTGGTTGTCTGCATGTTACACGTTGTGCCGATCTGAGTTCTATTTGAGTATTCGCCTTTTATAATCTAGATGAGTATTAATATTGTGATATTAGAATATACTAGAGGTTAAAATAACTAACGTATTAAAAGCCTTGTAATCTAAGCCAATTTATGGGATATTAGTAATTTTAGCTTAGCGGTTTGTGACGTATACGATTCTGTACTGTTACGATAGAACGCCTTTAATAGTAGGCCTCTAGGTTTTGGCCTACTATACCACGCTAGCCAGACGGGTTGGTATATTAATCAGTTTATTTTCATTGCGAACATGGGTTTACAATTAGGTGTTACAGTTTAATAAATTTTTCTGCCACATCCTACCTTTAGGCATGCAATAAGATAACATTAATAACGAGTTTGAGCTTATTTAATACATCATACGAGGTCAGAATTCTATTTTATGTCAATATCAATTAAAATAATATTATTACAAAAGAAAAAATGTCATAATCGTAATAAATAATGTATCACATTTATTAAAAAAACTGTATTAATAGAGGGTATATTGTACTTATTAAAAACATGCATTCCATTCGTAGATCCATATAGAGTTTCAAGTTTGCCTTCTTCCTGCAGTGTTATTCCTGCAGTCGGCTCTTACGACGCACACGGGATGAATAGAGGGTAGCGACCCTCCGTATTCTTATGATGATGATACATTGTTTTCGTTCTACCCTCTAATTTCTCAATTTTCTTGACTAAACTGCCCGGTTTAATGCAATAGGCTTGCTTCTTATTTCAAGTTGGACTGCTATTCACCTCCTTTGAACTACATACATACATCGGTGAGCCCTTCGGCACAAAGGGACAAGC